ATATACTAATGGGACAAGGATTAAAGAAACTGACTATTGGTAACTTAACATTATGGAGGAGACAAGATATCAGACAAAAGGTACATAATATGAATAATTGAATATTGTTTTATGAATATTGTATTGTATAGGAACTAAAAGAAAAGGATCAAGGGTTACTACAACAGACTGAGGTCAATTAATATAATCATTCCTTTTATTAGTTACATTATAGTACCTGTACAATGTAACAATGTGTTCAGTTGATTGTAATGTGTTAATTATATGTACAGGTTATTTCTTATATTATACTTGAAGAAGCTGAATATAAACTAAGAGATACTATCAGTAGCAAAGAGAAGGTATGTCATACTGTGTAATGCATGAAATTACCAGTTTATACAACATGTAATCATTTCTTTTTAAATGTAAACCGTGTAGTGCAAAATTTTTGAAGGCTGTAAATTTTTGCGAATTTACCTAAAAAGTTATTTTGTAGATTTATTTTTTTTGTGAATTTATACCATCTGCCATTTTGTACTGTAATGATTTGATTTCTGTGGGATTGTTTTTTGGGAATTTTAAATCTTCAAAGAATCAAGAAATCTAGGAAATTTATAGCCCTCAAAAATTTTGCACTATATGGTATCATGTAGTTGTGTATAATTGATATCTAGCAATTTTCTGAATTTATTGTACCTTATGACTTGATTAGGAAGTAGTTGAATTAAAACAAGTACTAGAGGAAGAACCACTTGGTAAAGAGTTGACTGTATTGAGGTCTCAGTTTAATGAGATACAAAAAGAAAACAAAGAATTGTCAGACAAATTATCAAAAATGAAGATTGAATATTTGAGATCACTTACTAGTAATACTGATTCAGGTTAGAGTAGTTTTATTAATTATACTAATAATTATATAATTAATTAAAGCTGCTAGCAGAGTGATAAGACGAATGTCTTTTGAAATTGATGACTGCAAATTTCATCTTGAAGCAATGACAAGACCAGACTATCAGCCATTAGTAGATAATAAAACAATAATAGAGAAATTGCAAGAAAGAATAACATTAATGAATATGGAACTAATTACTGAAAGAGAACACACTGAGAAGATAATAAAAGATATTAAAGGTTTTATTGATGATGTGTGTCATCATTTGACTGTTGATATTTGAATAGATCATTTGAAAGAGATTGAGGAGAAGAAACAGAGAGAAAAGAAACAAAAAAATGAAGAAGAAATGTGTAGAGTAAGAGTGAGACTGACTATAAGTATATACTAGATCTATTTCCTTTTATTTCATAGATTTATTTATGTTGTAATCATCCTGTTACTGGTGAATTAATTAATTCATTCCTTGAAGTACATAAAGATGAATTACTACCCACAGTACTGGATAAAGCTTATGAGGTTCAGTATTTTTAGTTGATTTATTCTTTCATTTTTGTTCATTTCTTTATCAGTTAATGGAATTAGCTC